AAAACAAGGGAAAAAGCAATATGCTCAGCGTTGGCTGGACGGCCGAAAAATCGACTGATTTCACATCGAATTTGGTAGAGCAAAGAGAGGCTCCATCACCAATACACAAATATTTTCGTGCAGGTATTAACAGGTTTCCTTATAGTACCAGGAAAAAATAGTACAGCAGCGAAATGCGTCCTCAGTGATACACCCTTCACATGATCGGAATCAGACGCCAACTTAACCCCTCATCCTCCGCAGTTTGCTTGATTTGTTGTGGAAACTTAAAGCAATCGCTCATATTCCATGTTTCCTTATTGCTCTAAAAGTCCTTATCAAGGGACAGTACATACTCGATGCACTTCCGGCTCTGAATGAAAGTCGTGGCGTATCCCGGAAAAGCGTCAATCTACCACGGCTCTCTCTACGCTTTCATAGCTCCAGACTTTGCATTGCTCAATTTCAACAGTAATAACATACCACGGAATTTGTCATGAAGCATTCGTTGTTACGACGTCCATGGCAGAGTTCTGTGTCGGCACAACCAGCTCGATAACAACGCTGTAACTCATAAATCGTACTTTTCACAGTAATGGATGACATTCGGAAGTGGCAAGATCGACAACGATCGGCCTACCATTGTCAAATTAACTCGGTACTTCCCATATACAGTAAAAAGTGCCTAGGGACAGGTTTGATAACGCAAACCATACATTGTTATAGGGATGCCATTTGTCATGAAAATGTGACCTTGATAGTCTCGTGAGGTAATCGTCGATGGGGTGGGAATAACAAAGTGACTAGTGAAATAGCGGCACAAATACCGATGCACAGCGTCGACGTGGTCGAGTTCGTTCAAAGTGGTACATATCCCGTAATTACAGACTACCATCCAATTTCTACCACGCACTCTCGTTAATCTATGGATTAATGACGAGGATGACCGGGAAGAGTAAGATGTGCATCCTCAACAATAACGTGTTAGGATAATCTGCCCGCCGTAATCGTTCCCGTAAAATTTTCCAAGAATATTCTGTTTCAACTCCCAGACCCTCCTGCTCCCAACTGAGAGTCCTCGGTGGGGATCACTACTATAAATTGTCATTGCATAAATGCAATTTTTCCAAACATAATTCCTAATATGCAAATAAAAAAAAACTATCTAAGCAGATGAATAAACTTTAAAATATGAGCTCAAGTCTCAAAAATGATGTGACGTATCCATTTTGAGAATATCAACATAGTTTCCGAGTTGAGCGTAATACAAATACCTTATAAATACACCATTTTTGAATATTCGTGGAATCTCTAAAGGAGTCCTCTCTTGTGGGGAAGTTGGAAGGACGAAAAAGAAGTAGAATGTTTTCGAGGGCATTTCTAACAAACAATCGCTAAATCTTTGCAGGTTTTTGAAATCCAACTAGCGGCGATGTTTGAAGTAGATTTTTTCCTACAAAAGCCGAATGGAATAGAGACGAAATATAGCGTAGTTTATCGAACTCGAGGAGCATAATTGCATAAAAGTACATTATTAAAGTAAAAGAACGGATACAAGAAAGAGAAGAAAATGGGTGTGCTCCTTGCAAGAATGAGGGAAATATACGCGGCCAGTTGAATATTAAACAGCACTTAAAGAGTTACTTTTGTTAGGCTTACAAGTATTTCATGCATTCAAACAGTACTGGCCAAAACTTACTTCCGAATATATCTCAAATAAAATCTGGATGAGCATATTATG